TTTTTTGGTTTTTCGAGACAGGGTTTCTCTGTGGCTTTAGAGCCTGTCCTGGAACTATCTCTGTAGACCAGGCTGGTCTCGAACTCACAGAGATCCGCCTGCCTCTGCCTCCCGAGTGCTGGGATTAAAGGCGTGCACCACCATCGCCCGGCCCCAATGATTTTCTTAATGAAGTTTCTAGAATGGTTGTTGGTACTCTCACCAAGGATGGGGAAAATGGGGTTGGGGGGTTGTCTCCCCTGTAGGATAAGAACAAGGACAAGTCTTTGCATGCAATCTTGCCTTCTAACAAGGGCCTGATCCCATGGGAAATGAGTCCTGTCACCTAGGCCCACATTCCCAACAGGTAACCAACACAAGAATACACACACACTTCCCCCGGAGTTGTGATTGAATTTTAAGTCCATTTGTGAGGTCAAATCCAGGACCCAAGTCAGACAAGCTTTTCCCTGAGCTCTCTGGTCATGCTGCCCACCCACATGGCCTCTTGACAATCATGAAGCTAAACCACCAGGTTCTTTTTCCTTTGTTCCAGACCAGGTGAGTGGCAAGGGTGCTCCTACATGGCACAGAGCAGGCTAAACCTACTGCTGATACGATGCAGGAATTCCCATGGAGAGAAAGGAAGGTCCCGGCCGCCTATGAACCTCAACTGCTGGTGCGCTCCTCCATTTCTCAGATTGGCTGAGGCTTCCCAAGCCCTCCAGGTGCGCTCCTCCATTTCTCAGATTGGCTGAGGCTTCCCAAGCCCTCCAGGAACTTCCACCCAAACCTATCCAGGACACGGTAGGGCTACCATGCTCCTTTCATTAGCACCGATGTAAACGGAAGTAGCTAAAAGTACTGGGCACCCAAGTCAAACAGGAACACAGTAAGTCATCTGTCTTCCTGCAGGTTGTTTACTTATTGGCACGGGGAACTCAGCTCCGGGCCTTGGGCTCACTAAGCTTGTGTTCTACCCAATCACCTGTATGCTGTTTTTGTTCGAGACAGGCAGGGCCTTAGGTAACGTAACTCAGGCTGGCCTTGTATTGATCCTCTTGTATCTACCCCCAAAAGGCTGTGATTACAGATCAATTTACTGAGAGGAACAGGGCAGAAAAAAACCACCATTCCTGGGTTTGCTCCTTAGACAGGCTGTTGGGGGAGAGACCAAACCCAGAAAGAGCCCACATCTTTCTAGGGACAGTCAACACCTGCCCATAGAGGCTTTAGTTAAACCTTAGAGAGGCCAATGACCTTAGGTTGTAGCTGGATGATCTGCTCCTTGCCAGTCCTATCCCATCCCGAGTGGTCTTCCCCTTGACAGGTCTGAGGCTCAGAGGACAAGCGGACCTGGAAACCAGCTCCTGCACATCTCTGCAGGTGAGCTATTGCTTCTGACATGTGTCTGCTGCAGTTAATTTTAAATAAGATACAGAGTATTATTAAATGTATATTTTAATAAAGCCAATAATTATTTTACTTATAGGAGCTTTAAAAGTAAGATACAAAATGTAGAGTTCCAGTTTGGAAGGTCACAACTATTCACATGATGTCCTGCTGATGCCGAGCAAGGTAGCCATGCTTTGGCCGTGCTGAGGACACACTCACACGCACGTACATGCGCTTTGGCGAGACACCTCTGCCAAGCGCAGCACCTGGGATTACCAGTGTTCAGGGAAGGCAGTGCTGGCAACAGCACCTACATGAAGACTACACAAACCGCATCACACGGTCTCACAGCCACGGAGACAACATGTCTTCCTTAATAGAGAAAAACAGACCAGAGATGACAGTTAGTGTCACCTGTGCTGGCCCAGGGTGAGGTCTTCGGGGAGGCACTATGAAAATGAGAGTACTGCCGTGGAATAGAACTCGAAACACAGGGCACTGTGGACACATTACTGAAGGAAAGAGAAAGTTTTTACAAGTAGAACAGCCACAAGGAACTTTGAACAGATTAGTGTGCACACTGTGACAGCTAACACAGACAGCAGCCACACAGGGCTGCTGTAGAGCACGTGCCTGGAAAACTCTATGTACAAAATAGTTCTCTGTAAACATGGTGAGGTGACTATTCCGAACCCACGGTGAAGGATCGTCAGTACAGGCAGAACGGCACCCCCAAACAGCACAAATGACAACAGCCGAGGTCTCCAGCAGTTCAGAGACACAGTACTAAGAACACAGGTGGCTGGGCTCAGACACCCAACAGGTCCTCTATAATATTCTTGTGTATGAATGTGTGTGTGCATGTGTGTGGTGTGTATACGTAGATTCTTTTTGGTATTTTTAAATATAAATTTATCTGTAGAAAAATGAGAACATAAATGTGCTATTACAATCTTTGTTGGAAAAGCTTACATGGAGTTAGAAAGAATAAACCATTTATTAGTAGTTAACATATATTAAAATGGTTTAATGATTTAAGAAAATATAAAAAAAATTAATACTGTCAAACTTTCATACCAGAAAATATCATGGATTTTTTTCAATTAGACATTTTCAAAGATGAAATATGAAAATTTTAAATAAGTTTTATATAAAGAACTTTCTGCAACCTCAATTAATATATAGTGGGAAATGTCTACTCTATATAGATATATTTATTATTATTTCTCAATTTAAGCACCATTCAATTCTGGATCCATTCTGACTGGAAAATATCCCCACGTCTGTTTAATGGCACATGTTAACTAAAAGTGAGGTGTTTTTTTGTTGTCGTTGACTAAACAAAGACTTTGAATTCCTGTCTACATCATAATTCTTTTGTCTTCTGAGCCAGCTCGCAAATGTCACTGTGGTTCTGAGTGTGGGGGTCTTGGTGCAACCCCTCCCCACAGTTGCTTCTTTCGAGGAGCATGGTGCACCGGAGCCTTGGTCACGGTGGAAGGATTGAGGGCGGCAGGTGCAGCTTTGCTCTGCACTCAGCATGGGCCAACAAACCCCCACTGTGCTGCCTCTGACAGCAGCTCCCCAATCCTGCTCTTATAAATCCCATGAGCCTGCACCCCTGGGTGCTTCTGAGCAGAGGAGCTACCCACCCACGGGAAGTCAGGTGGCTGCTTCTCATCACAAGTGTCTTGTCTTGTATAAGCTTAAATGAAGACAGTGTTGAGCTAACCTCCAGCCAGGGAACCCGGGGTCTTAAGACAGCCAATGCTTTAGGCAGGAGACATTTTTAACTGAAAACCTACATGAGAAATATCTATAAAAATCAGTGATGGGTGTGGGTCTCACTCAGTGTGTTAAAGGGAAGGAGAGCTTCAAAGAATGGTCAGTTTTGTTCTCAGCCTGCAGGCCTCATGCCTTTCCCACATGCAGGACTGACAACCTTCGGACTGTGTTTTCCAAGTGTGGCCTCTGGCCACCTGCACCAGTATTACCTGAGGTGCTTATTAAACATGCAGATTGCCAGCATCCCCCTGAGTATCAGAAATCTCCATCTTCAGCTGTCTCCCAGGGGTCTGCTACCTTCAAAGTTCGAGAAATCAGGCTTTAAAGACTTGGAGCTGCCAATCACCTCTGACCCAAAGAACATTTCCATCCCAGGGACAGAGGTGCACTGGTCCTTTTGGGGGCTAGTATCAGCTACTCAGTCCTGGGGACAGTTGCCCCAACAGCTTTGATGGACAGCAGGCAAGCTGTGGTCAGTACTGGGGCAAATAGGCTGGCCTGCGCTCAGCTTTCCCAGGGAAGGCCTTGAAGCCCTTGGGTGCCGCCTTATGTGCTGGTGGAGGTGGGGGCTGGGGTGGTGTCTGCACATAGGTAAAGGAGGTGGCATTGCAGTCACTGGTCGCAGCCCACACAGGGGACTGCAGCATGTGCATGGTGTCATTCCACTGGCTGCCGGGACTGGAGACTGCATAAAGTGGTGCAGCAGGGCTGGGCAGCATGCTGGGCAGTGGGGAAGGGTGCTGCCACGGTGCTTTGGGTGGCCACGTTTTGGTTTTGTTATCCTGGGAAACAGAAGAGAATTCTTAGTGTCATTTCTGGTGAGTTGTCATTGTGACCTGCCCACCCAACTCCCAGCCTCCCACAGCCTGGCACAAGGGAAGCTCTTATGGTAATATCAGCACTCAGTGCCTACAGTCCACATAATCGTAGCCCAGCGGTGGAACGGAACTCGTGTGTCTGCACACAGACACTTACAGGCCTCCCACCACTCGTGCATCCACAACCCGCCCTTATATTTATTTAGCTGATCTGAACAGGAGGTGTGCCAAGAGGCTCTCACATTAGACAAATGGCAGAGCTTCCTCTACAGAAGACTGCATCAGCTAGGGTGAGCATATCTCATTGTTTAGACAAAAATCATGAGAAAATAATGCACCACAAAGATGACCCCTTATGACTTTGAGGCCCAAGGTCACAATACCTGGTTCACATCCTCTACTGTGGTAAGAAGAGGTGGTGAGGGCAGTGTGCTGGTCTCCTGCTCTCCACTGCTGTGTTTCCTGAAAGAATCAAGAACAAAAAGCAATGAACACATGGCTTCTCTGTATGGGGCACAGGCAGATTAAGTGCTTGGCTCTGGTCTCTAGGTCCCCAGTCTAGGTGTGGAGGGCTTGGGTCCACCAAGGTCAGTGTGACAGGGGAGCCAGCAGCCTATAAAGCCCTTTAGGAAGTTGCAGCCAGCAGGGAAATGGCACTGGCTGTTTTCACAGCTCTCCGAGTTAACTACCTTTGGCGTCTCATTAATTATTAATTAATCATTAATAATTATTAAAACTAGTTAATAGTTACTGGAAGTGTTTAACATGTACTGGGTATGTTGGGGACTGAAAAATACTGTATGATGAATATAAATATACATTGTATACATGTATGAAACTGTCAAAGAATAAAATATTGTAAAGAAGTAAAAAGCAAGCCGGGTGATGGTGGCGCACGCCTTTAATCCCAGCACTCAGGAGACAGAGGCAGGCGGATCTCTGTGAGTTCAAGACCAGCCTGGTCTACAGAGCTAGTTCCAGGACAGGCTCTAAAGCCACAGAGAAACCCTGTCTCGAAAAACAAAAACAAAAACAAACAAACAAAAAAAAAAAGTAAAAAGCATGTTAGTTTTACATTACAGATCTGAGCCGGAGCTCCTCTTAGACAGGTATAGACCCCACAGGGGCAACTTTCTTCTCTCACAGACTACTGCCAGTGTCCTACCAAGTCCCTTACAGATCTTGTAACCCCAGGCCAACCTCTTCCTCATGGAAGGTACATTTTTAAATCTATTTTATGTATACAGTGTTCTACCTGCATTTGTGTTTCCATGCCAGAAGAGGACGTCAGATCTCATTACAGATGGTGTGAGCCACCATATGGTTGCTGGGAATTGAACTCAGGACCTCTGGAAGAGCAGCCAGTGCTCTTAACCTCTGAGTCATCCATCTATCCAGCCCAGGAAGCTAGATCTTTTTTTTTTTTTTTTTTTTTTT